GGGCACCCTGATCTAGTGAGGAGGTGTCCCTGCCCATGGCAGGGGGTTGGGACTAGATAATCTGTAAGGTCCTTTCTAACCCCTAAATTCTATGATTCTATAATGTGCTCATCCTCTATGCCTTTAATTGTTATTTCTATAATGAATTCTTCTTGAAGCTGATTGTTAAAAGAATTAAATATTTTTTAGCTTCTTTCCTGACTATTTGTGCTTCAGTTTGCATTAGATTATCTAATATGTTTGCTCTCTTTTATTGTACAGTCAGTCATTGGTCTTTAAATTTAGCCTAATGTGCAGCCTGACTAATTGGGTTACACCCCAGGTGAAGGGCTCTCCATGTCCCTCTGTTCCCAAGTCAGAGCAGGAGGAGGGTTATTCATTTCAATAAGCTTTTCTACTGAGGATGTAGAACCACTAGTCATTATTAATATGATTCATTAACTAATCCATTTATTTTCCTATTCTCCTTCAGCTCTTTAAAGCTATTCAGATTACAAAGCACATCAGTTACATTCTTTACACGTGTTTAATGATTTATTTCAAGTTTCTAGTCCTATTGCTTTAAAAAGTGAAATCTAATTCTGTAAAGGCTTCTCAGTTAAGTAGCTATGGTTAATTATACTTAAGTTATTGAATTACTCAAAGTTTCGGATTGCCTAGTCCTCCCCAAAATTGAAACAATGCATAGAATTATAGAATCATAGAGTCAGCCAGGTTGGAAAAGACCTCCAAGATCATCAAGTCCAACGCTACCATGGTTACTAGACCATGGCACTAAGTGCCACATCCAGTCTCAGCTTGAAAACCTCCAAGGATGGTGAATCCACCACCTCCCTGGGCAGCCCATTCCAATGCCCACTTACCTTCCTGTTATGCTGTCTTTAAGAAGCCATTTCCACAGGACTTTGGAATTTGGTATTCTCCTCTCATTGTGCCACATAGAAAGAAGGAGAAGGGGGAAGCCTCTTCTGCCCTGTAAGAACAGTGTTATGAAATCCAACTGCTCTTCACAGCTATTTCAACGAAGTTGTTGTGTAGCCACATTTTTCCTCTGTAACAATTGTTTTCTCCATCCAGGCAAGCCAAACTAGATGGGCAGACAGCAAATGCTAAGGTTGAGGAAATGACCAAATTGACAGAGAAGCTTCACAGCCAATTGGAGAGAAAGGTATTCCAGAGAAAGGAATAATTACTGTCGCAATCAAATGGTCAGTCAGGTTCTGAATGCTGATGTTAAATTAGCTCAACTTGTTATCTAACTTGTTTTATCTGAGTATGTCTTTATTTTGTTTGTGGAAGCTCAGATCGTGTCTGGGTAATACATTTATTCTTTCTAGGAAGAAGATGTGATATCTGCCCAGGGAAGGGAAACAGCATCTGACAAACGTTTGCAGCAAATGCAGTCTAGCATAAAACAGTTAGAAACAAGGTAAAGAGAGCTCACTGGGTGTTACTAACAGGAAACATGCACAAATGATGCCTTGGCTCTACAAAAATAGAGTGGTTGTCTGTATATTTTATGACAAACATGTTAGAAACAGCATTGCTCCTTGAAAAGGCAGCCCAAGTGTTGCCCAAGTGGAACTGTGCATTTCACTGAACCAGCAGCACTTGTGGAACCATCTGAGATGTTTTTGAGGCTCCCTCTGAGGCTCTCTTGCCCTTTCTCGTGCCTGCTAGTGCTGACAATCATAATTAAACAATCAGAATTTCTGAGCTGTTGTAAAATTACCAGTGGTTTTCTTCTTCTAAGTATAGCTGCAACTTCATTGCCCACATGCAATTATTCCATTTCCTCCATAGAGGAAATCTTTATTTCTTCTGGGGCTGTTCTATTCTGGTTTAATATAGCACATTTTCAGTTATGTATCCCAGGATAGTAACATTCTTCTAAGGATCTTCTGAGATTAGATATCTGAGTTAACTCCTTTCATTCTGTTTCTTTCTAGGACTTGATTAATATTAAACTCAAATAATCTCTCCAAAAAACCAAGCAGAAAACAATGCAGTTTTGGCCACTTATGAATAGATACTTCCTATTAATTCGGTTTGAAGGATTAGTGCCTTAATTAACCATCTTATTGTTAAGTGAGTAAAATTCCTACTGTCTTGCAGATTACGTGTTAGTGTCCAAGATGCTGAGCGGCTGCGAACGGAAAGAGCAGTCCTGGAAGAGCAAATTGGAGAGCTTCAGGCCAAGTCTGCTAATCTAGAAAGTGAGAAGTATGATGCTATGGCAAAAGTCCAGGATTGCATACAACTCTTGGAAGAAGCTAACCTAGAAAAGAGTCAGGTAAGGCAATGGATGAAGATTTTCTTAGCAATTAGAATCCTTTCATCACTTAGTGTTGTGAAGTGCCTGATTATATATTCCTGCAGGCTTACACAAACAAGCTGCTTTTATGTATGCTGTACTAAAATTAGTAATGCCTAGATAGCAAACTGGGATGTGACTATACATTACTGAGACTTGTCATGCAGTATAAATTTCAAAGAATATGTTTAATCCCTGGATAAAGGTGATCTAAGTGATAATACTGTACCTGAACTTGAATTTGGAAAAGTTTTTGACAGGGTTTCTTAGCAAGTACTTGCAAACAAATTGTGCTGTCAGAATGGAAACGAAGGTTCTGTTATGAGTTTATAACTTAAAAAATGACTAGGAAAGAACAGCTAGAAGTAGAAGGGACTTTTTTGTTCTCTGATGGACATAGGTCACTGAGAGAGAGATCTGTGTTCAGAACTCTGGAAATCTGGGAAAGTGACTGAGGAATGAGTGGGTAAAGTCTTTAGTCAGAAAAAAAATTGCAAATATGTTTATTAGCATATTATAAAATGGCAGAAAAAATTCAAATATAGCATGTTGGCTGCTGAGTCTTACCACTTAAAAAACAGTTTAGGAGATACTGTGGATCTCTTAAGAGCACATTCACACAATCCTCAGTGGTGCTTGATACAATTAATGGAATGTTCATAATGGGAGTGAAAAGCAGCCTTTGAACACAGTGCACCTTCGGTGCAGTTTTGATCAGCCCATTTCAGGCAAGACCTAGGAGAACAAAGGAAGTGCAGGAGGAGTCAACAAAGAAAACTAAAGATCTGGAGAGGCTTTAAATCTTTGTATACAAAGAGTGATTAAACTGTCCTAGGATGATGTGTATGCAAAAGTATCAACATGCAAACAGTCAAATTCACAACAGGGCAATCCACCAAAGCTTCCTAAGGAGAAGTGTCTAATCCAGAAAGCCTTGACACACCTATTGATCAGGAAAAATAGTCACCCTGTTTTCCCAGTTCTTAGCTTTCCTGAAGTATCTACTGTTTGCCCCTTTGGGATACAGAGCTTGGTAAGCTCTGGTCTAACTCTTTGAATTTTCAACTGTTTTCTCCCTGTTCTGCAAGAGGTTGAGGGATGGGAGTAACAGGTTGTCATAATAGTGCTGCTTCTGTTATGTTAATGTTGTAAAGTACCCGAAGCACAAAAAGACATCAAAAGGATTTTAGAAGAGTAGTTGAGCAATAAAAAACAAAGTTGAGTTGTACGGGAGCAGTAAAAGAGTCTGACCAATGAAGTGGTCTTCTATTGCCTGCAGGGAATAACCTTCTACAGGCTGAATTTCTTTCCTGTATTAGGGACGTTTTTATGTCTTTCTCCCTTTTTGCATCTACATATTCTCTGTGCCATGCAGAATTCTTGATGGGTGAGATCAAAAATCCTATATTCTGTAATCTTTTCAGCCCAGTAACTCCCGTTATACTGTAACATCAGTAGCTTTCTTGTGTCCCCCTCAGGAAGGGTTCCTTACTAGACTCTTTTTTTCTGTAATTCTTACTATTTTTTTATGCTAAAGAGCTGTTTGGTTCACTGTTATCCAAGATGAAAGGGTCTGCAAGTATGTTCCTTAGTTGCTTATGATTTATAGCCTTGTTCTCTGCTCTGAGCTCCTGTGCTTTCTCCTGTGTATTTCTATGCCCTGCCAAAATCTGAAGGACCCAATAGAAGAAGGTTCTGATTTACAAGAACCTGCATTTATTGCAACATGTGCTCACTGTTCTTGTTTTCTTGATGGGTGTCAGTGTCAGCTATTCCAAAGTAAAAAGGGAAAAAAGTGTTTTTTGAACAGTGACTCTGTGTGGTTTCTTCTCACCAGCACTAGATACTTTGTCACACTGCAATATCAGTAGTATTTCAACTAGTATTTTTTTTCCAGGCACTCTTTGGGGAGAAACAAAAGGAAGAGGAGATCAAAAAATTGAAAGATGAAATGTCTCAACTTGCAGAAGCTACTGCTGAAAGAGCTAGAAAGGCAGTAAGTTATGATGTTCAGAAAGGATGGGAAGATTTTTTTAGTTTTCCTCAGCATGAAAGGCTATTGCTGGTGCCTGGTGTCAGAAGCAGTCGTGATAATACAGGTAGCAAGGCAGCATGCTGATAGTACCATTCTCCTCAGCTTTTTTATCTAGACTTATATTCCTCTGAACTGAAGAGAATTCTGAAATCTCTCAAGAACCAAAACTGTCCATGTCAGTGCAGACACTGGTATAGAGTAGTACAGGTTGGCAATTAACATTATTCTAACATTTACGTAGTAAGATTGGTCAGTTACTGCAGTCACAGCTATTTTCATACCTATGGACATGCACCACATATATAGACTGTATATACATGTAAGAAAGCAAGATGGAAAAAGAGTTTGTGGCATGAATTTTTTAGTTTGGCTTTGGTTTTGATCACAGGTAGAGGCTGCAAAGAAGCACTATAACGTGCAGGTTTCCAGACTAACAGAAGAACTTTCAGCTCTTCAGATGGTATGGAGTTGACTGATTAAAAATATTTTCAATGGCAAGGCATTTGAGACTTCCTAGTTTTTATTGATCAAATAAAATGCTAAATTCAAGTAAAAGTAAGTCAACTAAAGTGTGATTAATGAGTAATTAATCAAGCTGAGTTTTGCATGTCTGTAGCTGGGTATGTAGAAATGAAGTCTATGAAAGCTGATAAAGTATCCCAAGAGAAATCTGCATCGCAGTCATCACATTTTTGAATGAACCAAGAACTTTTAGTAAATTATGCAGGAGAACAAATGACCTCTGTGCTTATATACCTATTTACGTATTAAAAAAGGTGTTGTTTTATGTGTCTTAGCCTCAATATTAAATGATGCTGTAGAGCAAATAATGAGCAGCTAAATATAATCAAACCCATATGTGCAAGCAGC